AAGTATGGTAAGGATTGTTGAGCAGAAAAAAATACACATACAAAGAGTGTTTTTACTGTACTTTTCCTCAGCAAAATACTTTTACTCTGTGACCAAATGTGTGGAGGTTTTCCCCATACATCAAGCAAGCAAGCAGTTCTCCAGCAGACACCAGATGGGTGTCCTCTAATTCACTTCTGACACTACCTAGAGACAATGTCAGATCCCACAAGGCAAGGGCTCAGTCCCCAAGACTGCCCCCCCACTTCAGATGCTAGTCGCAAGCCCAGGCTTCTGGAACTTCTCACCGACCAACTGTAAATCAGGGTTCCCACAAACCTCTCCTTGGGTTTGATTAATTTGCTAGAGCAACTCATAGAACTCAGGGAAACACTTATGTTTACTGGTTTATTATAAAGGATATATATTTTTTTTAATTATTATTATTCCTTTTACATTCTATGATGTTGTTGTGAAGCAGTTGGGAGGGAGGAGGAGGGGAAAGGGGAAAGAAATAGGATGGAAGGAGGAAGGAGGGGCGGGGTTGAGGCCTGTGGCACCTTCCTCATTCCCACAGGGGAGACCAGGGGACTTCCAGCAGTGGCTCGGTCATTGCCAGGCTGGGTGCAGATGTCAGGAGGGTATGGCTAAAGCCCTTGCCCCCCACAACCCCAGCTCAGGAGCCTGGGGCACTTCTTGTGGCAGCCTGGTAGTCTTCACTGGGCTGGTTGCACGTGTTGTGGGGGCATGGCCAAGGCCCAAGGCCCCCCACTGCCCTAGCTCAGGAGAGCCTGGGCACTTCCAGCAGTGGCTTAGTGGTCATCGCTGGGCTGGTTGTGGGTGTTGGGGGGGCATGACTGAGGCCCAAGGACCCCAATGTCCTGGCTCAGGAGAGCCTGGTGCTTCTTGTTGTGGCTTGGTGGTCATCACTGTGGTAGTTGAGCTTGACAGAGGGGTGTGGCTGAGGTCCGAGGCCCCCACCCTTGGGACTGGTTGTGTGTGTTGGGGGGTATGGCTGAGGTCCCTGGCCCTTCCCCCTCTCTGGCTTGGTAGCCAAGGGGACTTCTGGTCCTACTAGGTGTTATAGGTTTTGGTGATGTGAGACCTTTACTAGTTAATATCAAGCTTTGTCTCTAGTTGTGGGTATTTTGTTCTTTCTTTCAGTTCTGTGTTGGGTTATTTGCTCTTCCCGCCACTTAAGCTCTGCACTGGAACTAATCTGTAGTCCTTTGCTTCCTTCTAAAATGAGGGAACTTCTTGTGGGGATCAGCACTTGAGCTCTGTGGTTGAGTTAAATTGCTACTTTGTTGCTTATTCCCTGGGGAAGGCTTTTTGTGCAGCTCAGGTTCTAATCATTGACTTTATAGGTACTTCCGACTCCCGTGAGATCCAGTACACCTGGGTTGTGTGGAAACTCTGATCTGGGCCTGAGTCTTTCAGCAAACTGCAGTTCTATATTCCTGACTAGTCTCCACTGAGAGGTCCTACACTGATTGAGGGGCAGATCAGCTGTCCTTGCTGTGCCCCAGTGTTCCCCTGGTGGGCCCATCTCCCCCATCGCCCATGCTGCAAACACTTCCCATGGGACGAGCCATGTATTGGTTCCTTGCAACTCACCGGCCTCTGAGTGGCTCCTATTTTTTTCAGTTGTTATGGCTTCTTGCTCCTAAGTGGGTCCATGGGAATCCTATTAGTGGTCTTGCTGGCCTGGGAGTCACCAAGACCCTCTTCTCCCCTGCAGCCTCCAAGCAATTTCATCCGAAGGGCATAGCTGCGGCTTTTGCCAGCTCCTGCTCCACACACTCAGCAGCTCCAGCCTGGAAGCAGCCAGGTTTTGAAACAGTCGGAGTGGTCCTATCTTTCTCTCATCGTGGCTTCTCCTGCCTTCACACACTCCTTAGGTCTCTCCTCTTCTTTCCCTGAGCTCTAGTGGCCCCAACTTGGCTGTCGTTATGGGAGAGAGTGACGCTGGGGAACGTCTATACTGGGAGCTTGTTATAAAGGATATTTTAAAGGACACAAATAAACAGCCAGGTGAAGAGATACATAGGGCAAGGTCCAGAAGGGCCTGGGCACAGGACCTTCCATTCCTGTGAAGTTGGGGTATGCCACCCTCCCAGCACATGGATGAGTTCCATTGTCTATGAGCTCCCCAAACCCTTTGCTCTTGGGTTTTTGTGCAGGCTTCATTATGTAGGCATGCCTGAAACATGGACAACAGCCATGTAGAGGTGATTGGACAAAAAGGGTGTGATCTAACACTAACAGCCTGGGTGGGGAAACCCAGCAAAAGGCCTGTTCAGGTTCTTCTCAGCCTCTCTGTGTAGTATTCCTTCCTCCTGGGTAGGGGGTGGCAACCCTTCTGGAGTGTGGGGTCTGTGACCTACAATCAGAAAAGGTAGATCCAGAGACTTTCCTATTTCTGCTGCCTATTTCTAAGTAGACTGTTGCAGGTTACTTGGTTTCTTGGTGTGCTTGGTTAAATGAGTGGTCTTCAAAAAGTTCATGGAAGAATTTGTGTTTTCTTTTAATCCAGTTTTTCCACATGCGTTTTGAAGTGCCGTTGTATTTAACTACCTGCTGGTCATTGTGTTTTACAAGTTATTTGTTAGAGTGTCCCAAGTCCTAGGATGAACCTCTGGAGAGGTGTGTATGTATTTTCTAGGAAATGAGGGGTGATTCCAATCTACGACCCCCAGAACCAAGCAAGCTCAAGTTTGAAGCTCCCTGGTTCACCCAGGTGTCAGGCTCAAAGGGCTAAATTATGGCCATCATTTTTCAGGATAGCTCTATTTTCTAATTTCCTTTTTCTTCTCTTTGATTTGGAACTACTCTGCCCTTCTCTGTAGTCCTGTAAGTTTGGGGACAGGCAGTTTTAATGCTGGTTATTTTTCTGAGAGGGTAACCCCTCAGAAAATGGGAGGAGGATCTCCTCTCAGGTCTTGGGTGGGCTTTGGGCCTTGAGTCTTGACTCCCTTATTCCCTTGAGGCCTCAGAACCAAAGCCTAAGTGTGTAGGAATGGCAATGGTGTCCCCCAGGATTGGCCCAGGGATTCCCTGTTCTCTTTCAACTCTTTAGTCTTATAAAGGTGCTTCTTACCCCTCAAGAAGTATGTATTTTATCTAGGATTTTCCTTCCTTCTTTCATTTTCTTCCTTCCTTTTCTACTTCCTTCTTCCTTTCCTTCCTTTCTTTGTTTTCTTCCCTCCTTCCTTCCCATTCTCCCTCTTTCCTCTCTTCTCTCTCTTTCCTTTCTTTCCTCCTTTCCTTCCTCCCTCCCTTTCTCCCTCCCTCCCTCCCGTCCATCCGTCCATCCTTCCTTCCTTCCGTCCTTCCTTCTTTTCTTCCTTTCCAGGATAGTTCTGAATAACCTAGCCCACTATTCCAGGAAACAGGAGGTCTGAAAATCAATTTAGAAACAGGAAATTGTAAAAACTGAGTATGTATAAGACTTAAAATGGTCATTCCCTTTTGGGCTTCTTTTAAACTTGTTAGTCAAAGTAGATAACATAGATCATGTCAGTATAAAAAATATACCATTTAGATATTTCTAGTAAAAAGATCCCCAAGAATGACCCCCAATTCTAAACACTTCCCAAGAAACGACTAACTTGAATGATTGGCCTAACTTACTGGAATTTATTCATTAAACTTACCATCAAGACACTTCCTGTGGCAAGGAACGGAAATCTACCTCAAACTAGCTCAACCCCAAAAGGTATCTATTGGTTCAGACTAAAAGTTGTGGGGTAGGTAATTTCAGGGACAGCTAGATCCAGGAACTCAAATATTGTCATCAGACTTAGTTTCTGTCTCTTGTCTGATCTTCTGTGTTAGCTCCAGTCTCTGGCAAGCTCTCCCCTGGTGGTGAGTTGGCTTCTAGGAACTCCAGATTCGTAGCCTGTGCTTGAAGTCTGCGATCTCCAAACTTTGTTGATTATGTATCCAACAGTAAAATTTGAGCACAATATTCCCCCCATTGTGTGTGTATTTATTTATAAATGATATGCTACTATATACTACTTTATATATAATATATAATGTTATATTAATTATATGTATTCTAGTTATGTTATATTTATATATATTCCATTTCTTATAATAATTATAAGTAGAGTTCAGTGTTTTAGTTTTTAAAATAAAGTATAAAATGAGGTACTAATATTTTCTGTACTCACAGTAGATTGTTTTGCACACCCCACTTTGGGGTCTACTTAGTGGAAAGACCACATCTTTCCCATCAGTTATAATGACAGTCCTGAGATCATGTTTCATTAGTTCTTTTAGGCCTAGCTTGAGTCATGTACCCATATCTGAGTCCAGAATCCTTGAAATAGTAAAAGCAAAAATTTACTAATATAAGGTGACAAATATCTGACTAGGCGTAAATAGATGCTATTTTAACTTTTTAAAGCTATTTATATTCAGGAATCTTATAATCATTGATATTTTATCCTCCAAAAAAGAACATAATCCTTCTCTCAGTACAATTATAAAGATTCTCTACCTTTATAATAACCTAATTCCATTAGTCTATACTAAATTTCTGTAATTTCATACCTGGAGTAGCATGACAGTGTCCCATGTAGTTTTTGTTCACATACACACTCACACTCACAAACATACACACTTTATTATAACACTCCAGTGATGGGTGAAGCTGAATGAGGGTACTTCAAAAAGTTCATGGAAAAATAGAATAAAAAGATAATATAAATCTTTCCATGAACTTTTTGAAGTATTCTTATATGTTAAGATGCAGGAATTGATGAGCCTTGCAAATTAAACTTTGTTATAATTTTTTAGAACGGCCATTTGAACAAGATGGGTGGCTATGTGGAAAGGCAGGCGATAGAGAGTCCAGAATAATTTTCAGATTTCTAAAGAGAAAATGAAGTCACTGGTTGGAGAGAGAATTTTGTTTGTACAAGCAGGTAAAGCATGTGAATGGAGGGTATTATTCAGGAGCTTTCTGAGGGACGGGCTGTTCTCAGTACTTAAAAATTGATCTTCTGTGGCAGAAATGTGATGGCGCATCTTGATTCTGAGGTGAAAGAAGAATGTCTGAGAGAAGACCTAAAGTTTTACTTCATGAACCCCTGTGAAAAATACCGAGCCAGACACCAGATTCCATGGAAACTGGGTTTGCAGATTCTGAAAATAGTCATGGTCACCACACAGGTAATTTATATTATCATCTTGTTTGGTTTTTCCTTACTCCAGAATGAAACTGTTTTCTGTACTGTGTGCTGTACTTGACTTCTGTTTTGAAAAGTCCACACCCAAGTTCATAAAACTGTAAAATTCTGTTGACTGTGGAGGGCAGTTGGTAGGTTGAAGTTCAGTTTAGAAGACGACCTTGTTTTAGTGAGAGGTCATGAGGTCATCTCTCCACAGGTTCTGTAAATACTGAATAAATGTAGGTCTGTAATGAGAGAGTTTCTGTATCTGAGGGAGGCACATAGGCTGGCCAAGGCCGTCAATCCAAAGTGATTTATGTTCTTGAAATCCATCCACTTTATTCAAATACACTTCATTCAAATATACTTTTGAAATCTACACGTTTTTTTCTTCAGACTTACAGAATGCTAAGATTCCCCTTATCAGTAGCAATGTGCTCTAAGTAAGTAGTAACCCCCAGGCCTTATCAGGAATGTATAAAAGCTACGTTTAGACCTCTTTGTAGATTCATATTGTTGACTACTTTATCACCAGTCTCAAAACAGCCATTAGAGTTGTCATCTAGTTTTTGGGCCTGTGGCACTAAACCAGTTTTGGAGAGGCTTCTCTGTAGGTAAATACACTGAAAATATGTGCCCTCTTAAAAGCAGTACTGATTTGGAATATTTGGTTCTTTTGGCCAATAATCATTCTATTAGCAATGTAAAAGAGTATTAAAATGTTATTTCTTAAACAAAAATAAGTGCTTTAAAAAATACCTCCATATAGGGGCCGCCCTGTGGCTCACTCGGGAGAGTGCGGTGCTGATAACACCAAGGCCCCGGGTTCGGATCCCATATAGGGATGGCCGGTTGCTCACTGGCTGAGCGTGGTGCTGACAACACCAAGTCAAGGGTTGAGATCCCCTTACCGGTCATCTTTTAAAAAAAAAAATACCTCCATATAGTTTTACTTATTTTGAGGGCAGCTGGCCAGTAAGGGGATCTGAACCCTCAACCTTGCTGTTATCAACACCATACTCTAACCAACTGAGCTAAATGGCCAGCCCTGTCCATATAGTTTTAGAAATGAGAGGAGGTTTCTGCCATAGCTGAAGTTGCATCTTTCTTTATTCCTTGTTCACTAAGAGGTGTTTTCATTGTATGACATGCCATCCCAGTTCATCAAGTTTTGGGGAAAGCAAGTTACTTCAAAAGAAAAAAGGTTGGGATATAGGGATGCTGTTAAATGTGCGTGCTTATTAGCTTTTTTCATTCTTGGTTTTGAAATTTTAATTTTGGCAACTTAAAAAATAGATGCATTATTAGTATTACTTGGAAGAAGAAGAAATAAAGTCCCCTTTTGTCCTTTGGTTAATTTTAATCATTTCCTAACTTCTTTTCCTGCTAAACCCATTTCATTCAAATGTTTTGATCTATTAATGTTACTGAAATTTTAACTTTTCCAGGCATAAAATGTCATCACCATCTTTGACTTACCATACCTACTGTATTAGTCCGTTTTCTGTCACTCATAGCAGAATACCTGAAATTGGATAATTTATAAAGAAAATGAAATTTATTTCTTACAGTATTGGAGGCTTGGAAGTCCATGGTCCAGGGCACATCTGGCGAGGGTCGTCTTCTTGGTGCGGCTCTGTAGAGAGTCCCATGGCAATGCCGGATATCACATGATGAGAACTGCAAGAGCAAAAAAGTTAATGTGCTCACTCACTCTCCTCACAAAGCATCATAACCACTCCTTAGTAGTCCATTAAACCATCAGCCCATTACTCCATGAATGGATTAACCCATTCATGAGTGTATAGTCCTCATGATCCAATTACCTCTTAAAGCCCCTACCTTTCAAATACTATAATTGGATTTCCCACACTCCTAATACTGTTATGATGGGGGTCAAGTTTCTAATACATGAACTTTTGGGGGATGTATTTAACCCATGACATTCTGCCTCTGGTCCCCAAAATTCATGTCCTTCTCACACAGAAATACATTCATTTCATCCCCATAGCCCCAAAGTCTTAACTTATTCCAGCACCAGCTCAAAAGTCCCAAGTCTGCAGTCTTATCTATGAACCCAAGAAATCAAAACAAGTTATCTACTTCCAAGATACAATGGTGGGACAAGCTTATGGTACATATTACCATTCAAAAAGGGAGAAATAGACTAAAAGGAAGGGGTGACAGGTCCTAAGCATGTCTGAAATTCAGCAGGGCAGGCCTTAAATCTTTTTTTTTTTTTTTTTTTTTAAAAGATGACCGGAAAGGGGATCTCAACCCTTGACTTGGTGTTGTCAGCACCACGCTCAGCCAGTGAGCAAACCGGCCATCCCTATATGGGATCCGAACCCGGGGCCTTGGTGTTATCAGCACCGCACTCTACCGAGTGAGCCACGGGCCGGCCCAAGGGCCTGGAGAAATAGACTAAAAGGAAGGGGTGACAGGTCCTAAGCATGTCTGAAATTCAGCAGGGCAGGCCTTAAATCGGAGAAATAGACTAAAAGGAAGGGGTGACAGGTCCTAAGCATGTCTGAAATTCAGCAGGGCAGGCCTTAAATCGGAGAAATAGACTAAAAGGAAGGGGTGACAGGTCCTAAGCATGTCTGAAATTCAGCAGGGCAGGCCTTAAATCTTTTTTTTTTTTTTTAAAAGATGACCGGAAAGGGGATCTCAACCCTTGACTTGGTGTTGTCAGCACCACGCTCAGCCAGTGAGCAAACCGGCCATCCCTATATGGGATCCGAACCCGGGGCCTTGGTGTTATCAGCACCGCACTCTACCGAGTGAGCCACGGGCCGGCCCAAGGGCCTTAAATCTTAAAGCTGGAGAATAATTTCTCTTGACTCCGTGTCTAGCGTTCTCTCCACACTGGTATGGAGGTTTGGCCCCAACTCCTTGGGCAGCCCTGCCTCTCTGGGTTTGCTGGGCTCAGCTTGTGCTCTAGCTCTCCCAGGCTAGCGTCACATGCTTGTAGCTCTACATTTCTGGGGTCTCAGTGGTAGTCCTGTTCCCATGGCTCCACTGGGCATTCTCTGCTGCAACTCTTAACCCCACATTTCCACTTGGCATTGCTCTACTGGAGGCTCTCTGTGGTGACTCCACCCCTGTGACAAATCTCTTCCTGGGTCCCTGGCTTTTCCATACATCCTTTGAAATTGGGGTCAAAGCTGCCAAACCTCCACAGCTCTTGTGTTCTGCCAGCCTGCAGACTTAACACCTAGGGCCAATTTAGCTGGGGTACCTGAGGAGACTATGCTGGAATGCAGGGAGCAAATTTCCAAGGTGGTCTTGGGTAATGAGCCCATGGAGGGCACCTCTGGCCTGTTCCCAGAAGCCATTCTGTCTCCCTAGGCCTCCAGGCCTGTGATGGTAGGGGCAGCCTCGAAGATCGCTGAAATGCCTTAAGGGTTTTTCTTCCATTCTCTTGATGATCCCTTCTCTCTGAACTCATCTCTGGTTGCTAGGCTACACCTTTGTTTTTCTCTCCTGAACACATTTTTTTACTTTGTACACAACCAGACTGAGAGTTTTCCAATTTTTTACCCTCTGTTTTCCTTTTAATGATAACTTCTGCTTTATGTCTGCCTTTGCTGCCATAATTCAGCATAGCCTGTTAGAAGTATCCATACAGCTAACTGAATGCTTTGCTGCCTCGAAATTTCTTCTACCAAATACCCTTGTTCATCACTTTTAAGTTCCACATTCTATAAAGCTGTCCAGCATGGACACAATTCAGCCAAATTCTTTGCCAGTTCACAACAAGGGTGACTTTTGCTCCAGTTTCAATAAGCTCTTCGTCATTTCCATCTGAGCCCTCCTCAGAATGGTCTTTATCTGTCCATATTTCTGTCAGCATTCTGGTCACCATCATTTAACCAGTTCCAAGTTTTTCCTGGTCATCTTGTCTTCTAAGCCCTCACTAGAATCGAGGCTTTTTCTAGGCTGTTCCTCCAAATTCTTCCAGCTTCTGTCCATCACTCAGTTCTAAAGATGCTTTTACGTTTTCAGGTATTCACTATTGGCAACACTGCACTCCTGGTACCAATTTTCTGTATTAGTCTGTTTTTGGTTGCTTGTAACAGAATACCTGAAACTGGGTAATTTATAAAGAAAATGAAATTACTCAGTGAAATTTATTTCTTACAGTTTTAGAAGCTGAGAAATTCATGGTCCAGGGGGTACATCTAGTAAGGGCCTTCTTCTTGGTGGGGGCTCCATACAGAGTCCCATGGCAATGCAGGCATCACATGGTGAGAATGGAAAGAGCAAAAGAGCTCATGTGCTCCCTTGCTCTCCTTATAAAGCCATCATAATCACTCCCTGATAGCCCACTAAGCCATTAGTCCGTTACTTTATGAATGGGTTAATCCATTCACAAGGGTACAGTCTTCATGATCCAACCTCCTATACGCCCCACCTTTCAAATACTATAATTGGATTTCCCATCCTCTTAATACTGTTATAATGAGGGTCAAGTTTCCAATACATGAACTTTTGGGGGACACATTTCACCCATAGCACCTAATAAATCCCATTGATTCTTCCTTCAAAACTGGATCTATTTATGTTTTTCCATACTTACCATCTTCTCTCTAGCACAGACTTTTATCTTGCTAGTTAATTATAAGTATATATGGAACATCTCATATGCTGGCATTCTGTTGGGAATAAGTAAGTCTGTGAAACATTACCTCTGCTGCTCGCAGCTAACACTTAACATAGTGTTTGCCATGGGCCAGGCACGATAAATGTTTTATGTATGTTAATTCATTTTTTCCTCACTGCAACCCTGTGAAGAAGGTTCAGTTATAATCCCCTTTCTCAGATGAAGAAACTGGGGCAAGTGATTTGCTTACAGCCATTCAGTGGGTGAGTGGCAGAGCTGGGATTGAGCCCAGGCAATCTGACTCTGGAGGCTGCAGTCTATTCTCATACAGTTTCTGTTGTACATATAGGTCCTCTTCTCAGAGTTTGCAGTCTAGGATTATAGATAAGTTAACTAGGCTGTTTCTAGTCTTTGTCTTGTGCCTACCTTTCTTGTCCACAAACATGCCAGTCTACTCAACATTAGTATCCAATTAATGTTTCTTAGAATAGCCTTTATTGTGCCATACTTCTGTAGAACCCTACTTTCCACAGAAGAAAAATTTCTAGCCTGGAATTCATACATTTCCACTGTCTGCTTCAACTTGTCTTTCCAACCAGTTTTTTTTTTTTTTTCCTTTTTGTCTTTTTTACTGACCGGCAATGGGATCGCAACCCTCGGTGTTGCGCCCGCACCGCGCTCAGCCAGTGAGCGGGAACCGGTCTCCACATGGGATCTGAACCCACGGTGGGAGCGCCGCCGCGCTCCCAAGTGGCGCACTGGAGAGTGTGCCACTGGGCCGGCCCTCCAACCAGTTTTTATCTGCTCTTTCCTACCCAAATCCCAACGAGATGGACCAACCTAGTAATTCCTACCCATGCCCTGTTTGTTCCCCCAAAATCTAGAGCACCTTGCAGGTAGGTGTTCTTTGAAGTCCCATCTCCCCAACCAGCCTTGCCTGTCCAGTTAGAATATGGTTTTTCATAGTACTCCTTGCTGTCTACATCACTAATTTTACCATTAAGAATAAAATATTTCTAGGAACCAATTTACTTTTTGTATAGATATATCATGTCTCCCCTAATAAAATTGGGAGGGATTAAGCTTTTGTTTCTCATAGGATCATTCTAATAAGTTTTGCTGCTTGAGTAATATCTATTTAGAACAGACTTTTTGAATACCTTTCCTTCCATCAAATCCCTCTTTTTCTCCCTTTTCTTTTTCTGTCTCTTTTAGTGCTCCATCCCCAAGTCTAATGGGGTGGGTGGCATTTTATCAGGGTTAATGAGAAGGAAACTTTTTTAAAACATTCCTACTCTGCATTCTACAGTAATTTATAATCTTGAGGGAAGTGTCTACATTCTTGTGCTAGTTTTACTCTTTCCCTCCCATATTCTTGGTACATAATTGAGTGGTATCTTGTTTTTACCTGGTACAGAATATTTTCTCCTACACTGATTACATAACAAGTTCTTAAATTTACAATCTTTGCCAGACTATGCACAACGAGTAATTATTTTTTCTGTCTTGTATCATATTCTTAGCACATCTTAAGATCTAGTTATTGGGACTAGGATGTATTTTGCTATTAACTGCTTTTTAAAAATGCAGTCATTTGGCCAATACCATCATCCCTTACTCTTCCTCTGCAGGTAGTGTTTGGTTCTGTCATAGCAAGAAAAGAACTTTGCAGTTTTCTCTGCAGGGTTCGTCTCCCTTAAGGGATGCTTTGAAAATCCTAACCCTTCCCTGATGCTGTGTCATACATGTGGATCTTGGCTTATTCTACAAATAATAGAATAGAGGAAATTTTTTGTTTCTCATGCCAGGGGTGGTTCCAAGTACAGATTACAACTCCATGCTGTCTCATTCCCAAATGAGTTGATGAGCTTGGAGTTTAAATAAGGTGGTGGCTTCAGATACCAGCAAATTGCATGCCACTTTCTTGAGCAATTCATTCATTTCATATTCATATATTTTCATGTTTTTGGGCATCACTATGAGTGTGGGGAGAATGGGTCTACTATCCCTGCTTCTAGAGTTAAGTTGGCAGCATTTCAGTGTGAGAGGTGGGTACAGCCAAGTGGTCAAGAGAATGAATAGTCTCTGGAGTCCAATAGACTCGGGTTAAGATACTCACTCTGACACTTTCTAAATGTTCCAACTTGGATAAATTACTTGCCTCCAGGTTGCACACATATATATAAATAAAATAGGACTACACTTACCACTGATTGAGTATTTGGCTCTGACATTGTGATGGGCACTATTTCATTTTCTGAGTATATAGCAGTAGGGAAAAAAAAAAATCCGTGTACTTGTGGAGCCTAATGTAATAACTTCCTCATAGGGTACTGGCGAATTAAATAAAAAATAATAATTAAAAATTTTTAGCATAATGCCTGGTACTCAGTAGATAAGACTTGTTATTCAACACCATGCAGTGTTTATGTTAACCACATTGTATCCCAGCTCAGCACAGAGTTAACACTTGGCAAACTTTGACTGAAGAATTTATGTATGCGTGTACCAGTTTTTCCACAAGTGTATAAGTATTTTTAATTAAACCTTGAAACAATTATAAGTGTGTTTGTTCCCTGGTTTACTTTTTTAGCTCTCAAAGAGCAACAGTGACCTTTTCTGGCATCTCCTATAGGAACCAGTGACAGATGTCACATGCTTAGAAGAACTTTTAACCTTTTGTTGCTTAATTTTCAGCACAGGTTGAATGATGTGGGGCTTCTTATCTGATGTTTTTCTTAGAATAGCTGGGTTTTAGCAATTGCTCAATCTTTTGACCTGGTATTTGAGGAATGTAACATGGTAAGTTTTAAAGGCTGATGAACGTCATCTATTCTCAATCGATAGTTTGCCTTTCATAATTCTAAAAAGCTAGCACTTAAATTCTTTTTTATAAGTGGCCCAAAGATAGTTTTCCAGCAGAAGGAAGTTTTTTGTACAGCATAATAAAGATGACTTTGGAGTTAAACCTGGCTTCCATTCTAGTTAGGTGACTTGGGGGAATTTAAATCTCAGTTTCCACACATGTAAAATGGAGATAACAATAATAATATTTTCATAGGGTGGTTGTGGCAGTAAATGAGATAATGTGTGTAAAGCATTAGTACAGTGCCTGGCATATAATATTACTGAAAAATAAATGGTAGTTATTGTTTAAAATTATTCAGTCTTAAAAAAAAGTCAGACAAAATGTAAAAGCTAAAAAATATAAACCACTAAAAAAAAAACCCTTACTGCCTGCTTGCATATGCAAATTAACATTATTTTTATCTGAATTATTCATAACTGATATCTTGTATATTATTGTTCAGATGTATCATATTGAACCATGAAATGACAACAAATGATGGAACTCTCAGGGTCATCTAGTTAAACTTGCTTGTTTTACACATGAAGAAGCAGTCTCAAAATGCTTTGGTGACTTAGTTGGGCGAGAACTTGAGGCAAACTTTCTGCAGTCTCATTGCTTTATAAGGCAGCTGAGGAGAACACTTAGGGAGGTGGGGAATGGTGTGTGGGATGGGATTTATGGAGGATTGACTTTACCACTACCACTGCCTGTGTGCATGGGGTAGGAGGGGAGGGGGTGAATGAGTATGCATGTGTGAGAGAGTGTGCAAGTGGGCAAGGGCACACCTGCAAGAGTGGAGTGTGCACATGTGTGTGCATGACTGCAGGTGTGTGTGTAACTGCGTGTGTAATTTCCTGGGTTTTTGTAAACTTTTTATACTGGCTAATTTCTCCCATTTATTGGCTTCCAAGAAGAAAACTTTCATTCCTGGTAAAGGGAGCCCTTGGGTCCCTAACCTCATGCTAGGATACAACATAAGGGAGAATAAGTAGGCATTTTCAGAAGGAGGTAGGTGCTTGGTGACAATGCATGGGTGTGACATAATACAGGTGAAGTGAGCCCTATTGTTCTTTCATGTGCTTTGATCCTGTAGATCTTGGTGGGGGAAACTCTTAGAAGTAAATCTAAGAATTCTTGCAGAGCTAAATTGAATTCCTTTGACAACTTTTACTGTCTAGCTGGCGTCAGAATTTATATAGACCACTTTTCAAAAACATTCTTAAACATGCAAAACATAGTTGTGATTCTAAAAAATATATACATTTCTAAATATTAAACCAACAAGACGTAAGTATTGCTTAACTAAGTAATCAATTTTGAAAACAATTTGCAATCCAAGTATAAGAAAATGCATTGAGAATTAGCTAATTTGGATTCTTTTTTTTTTTTTTTTAAAGATGACCGGTAAGGGGATCTTAATCCTGGACTTGGTGTTGTCAGCACCACGCTCACCCAGGTGAGCCAACTGGCCATCCCTATATAGGGATCCGAACCCATGGTCTTGGTGTTATCAGCACCACACTCTCCCAAGCGAGCCACGGGCCGGCCCCTTGGATTCTTTCTTAATTAAAGGCCAGTTGTTAGTCATTGGAAGTGGTAATTTCTTCCAATTTAATGCAACTTTGGATTGCTGCTGTAGCTTAATGACATTATTCTTCTTCGGGATTTGTTTTCTGACATTGATGCTATTACCATAAACCAAAGAATTGAGATTTTTCTTCTGGTGAAGGTAGATGATAATAAGAAGGCATTTGTCTCCCCTGATAAATGGTAAAATTCATGTACTCCTATTTGATTTTCTTTTCTAGCTTGTTCGTTTTGGCTTAAGTAATCAGCTGGTGGTTGCTTTCAAAGAAGATAACACTGTTGCTTTTAAGCACTTGTTTTTGAAAGGATATTCTGGTATAGATGAGGATGACTACAGTTGCAGTGTATATACCCAAGAGGACGCCTATGAGAGCATCTTTTTTGCTATTAATCAGGCAAGTGCTTCGTTGTGAATGACATATACTTTAAGAATATATTGATAATTGACTTTATTGTCTTAGGAAACAAACAAAAAGTATATGTATATTAAAATATTCTAATGTAAATTTTGCATAAGTCTGCTAAAAAATGTTTATTGCTATTTCTGAAACTATACTTTCACACAATAGAGTTTGCCTATTTTGAATTTTTCTTTAAGATTTGCCACTTTTATTTATCCCTTCACACCCTCTACTTTTGGGAGATGACTTTACCCCAGATCAAATAGCTAAGAGTAGATTTATAATCTAAGAAGGCTTGATGAAGATTTGATAACAAATCTAAGATTCTGTGGTCTCAATTTTGATGTCTCAGCATGAAGAATATGGAATGTGATATGGTTGTATTTATTTACTTATTCCAAAATTTTATTTGTTTATTATTATTATTATTATTATTATTATTATTATTATTATTTGGCATCTGGCTGGCAAGGGGATCCGAACTCATGATCTTGGTGTTACAAAGCTGTGCTCTAACCAGCTGAGCTAACTGGCCAGAATGATATGGTTGTATTTAGACATGTATGAGGGAGCAGATTGGTTGACTTGAAGAAACCATTTATGGGGGAGAAATCGTTCTTTTTCTTGTTTTTTTCTTTTTCATTCATTCATTCAATAAATAGTCAAGGGGCTGGTTGGTTAGCTCAGTACCAGCCAGGTGCTAAAAAAGAATAATAAATAAACAAACAAACAAACAAATAAATAAATAATGTTTGAGTACCTAGTATGTCGCAAATACTGTTTTAGACACTGAGGATACAGCAGTAAAAAACCAAACAAACAAACAAACAAAAACCCCCTGCTCTTATAGAGCTTAATTCTAGAGGAGAGACCTAGACAAATAAAAATAGGTGAAATGTAAAATATGATGCTAGCTCCCTGAAGACACCACCCCAAAAAACATGTTGATAAGCAAAGTCGAGCTTATTGCTTATAGAGGTCAGGGCGCTGCTATCTTGACCAGTCTCAGTAGTGCCTTCGGTGGGGAGGGGATCCTTTATTGTTGGGGGAGCTTTACTAGAATTGGGTAAAGATCATGATATAACAGTTTAGAATTGGTGGACCCAGCAAAGTGAGAGTTGAGGGGACAGTTTCAAAGAGTCTTGGACTTAGACTAAATCTTCAAATTGGTATCAATTTTAATGAGTTTTTTGAATGTTCCTGAAACAAACAATGCAGTTATTTGCAAATTTTATGTTTCTGGGCAAAAGTTTCCTGGAATAGTAAAGTCATATTAATGAATATGGGGGCTAGTAAAGCCCCGTTAGTGCAGATAGCCAAATAATAAAGTTTGTTCATGTAAGCGAATGTTAGCTGTGTTGATGTAAGCTGTGGGTTGTGGATGGCTTGGGTCCTTGGTGGCATGTCTGAAAGTGACGACTGCTAAGAAATAAAGCAGGGAAGGATTTGGGGAATTCCCAGATGTGGTGATGGTATTTGTTTTCTTTCTTTAAAATTTGTCTTTATTTTTCATTTTTACTCATTTATTTTTATTTATCCTATTTTATTTTTAATTGACCAGTAATAATTGTATATATTATGTTATATAAGTCATGTAAAATGTGATGTTTTTATATATGTTTGTAATTTTCAGTGGCTTGGTGAGGGAAGGCCTCATTGATGTGGTGAATTTCGAGTTAAGTCCTGAAGGAGTGAGACAAGCAGGCAGTTATCTTGGGTTCCAGGCAGAGGGAACAGCAAAGGCCAGAGGCAGAAGTATGCCTGTCAGGCTCCAGGAACTGCCTGGAGACCAGTGTGGCTTTGGTGGGTGGAGCCAAGGGACAGTAGCAAGCAATGAGGTCGAGGGAGAAGGCAGGACTTTGGCTTTGGTTCTGAGAGAGATGGGAGCCTCTGCCAGCACGTTTACTTTAGTTTTGAGCTCTGTGAGGCAGTATGTTCCTCCACAACCTGAGAAATTTGCTTTGCGTTATTTTTTCCCCAGGTAAAGCAGATTTTAATAAAAGGATTATATATTTAAATCACTTGTTTTAAAATTTCTAAGTCTGTTTTCAGTCTTCATAAAAAATAATTTATAGTTGCAGATTGTCGTCTATGGGCTTGGAAAGCTATTCTATTCTCCCCCAACCCCTTAAACCCATGCCTCAAGTTAGTACTTTCCCCAAAATTTACAAACTTGCTCTTTCATTTATTTTCACAAAATATAAAAGATGTTAAAAGTTTGTGTTTTTAGTGCCTTAAGAAATATATAAAAATACGGGCCAGCCCGGTGGCGCACTGGATAGTGCGCCGCTTGGGAAGCGCAGCGGCGCTCCCGCCCGAGGGTTCGGATCCCACATACAGACCGGTTCCCGCTCACTGGCTGAGCGAGGCACGGGAGCGACCCCGAGGGTTGCGATCCCGT